GAAAGAGAGTGAATGTTGGCATGAGTAAGGACTCAGACGGTGCGGTGGGTATTGCTTCTCTGTGACTTGCTGTGCCACTTCGCTAGGTGAGGCCAGTTTCCCAGAACCAAAGAGTTGTGCTGATGCTGTGTTTCCGATATGCTCAGGATCTATTTGTGGTTGCTGCTGTCCTTCTTGACTGCCAAAAGTGCTCATCTTAATAACAGCTGATTGTTCCTGTCTCCATCTACCTGATGCTTTATCAGTTTCTCCAGACCTTGAGGTAGCTTTTTGTCCTAGAGCTGTGTCCCCAGTGTCCATTTTGTTACACAAGGTCTCAAGTGCTAGTTCGCTTGAAAGCCGTGCAGACTCATGGAGTGTCTTCAAAGCTGTGCCTTTCAAAGCTTGCTTGCGTCCATGTTCCAGGGTGTCTGCAAACTTGCTGAGTGTTCCTTCTCTTTGGAAGCTTCCACACCCACACCGTAGTCTATGGGCATTAGATGGTAATGTCCTTGGACCAGGGCTATAACACAGTTCTCTCCATTGTAGAAATGTCCATCCAAAAGCTAAGTGCAAATCTATAAAGATCTCTTATGGCATTTGAATATTTTCAACTAGGGTGAAATTGGGGTGATGAATATTCTAGGAGAAATGTTGCCCATCAACTAGAGCAAAGTTCAATTGCCAGTTTCACTAAGATAAAATGGTCTGAAAGAAAATGAAACACAAAGAGATTGTCATAAGTTATCAAGCAAGAAACCAAAACCATACCTAAATAAACAGCCTGAAATTGGATACATTGAAAATTTTTTTACTCCAAGAAATCCTTTTTATAGTTGTTACATTAATTCCACAATTAAAGGTTATTAATTTCAAACAGCATTAAGTCATAAGCATAAATCTCCTCAATGCTTAACTTTTGGTCATCCTTTTAAATACCCCTTAATTTTGGTCAGAAAAGCATTTAAAGGAAAACTTTTGATACATATTATTTATAAAATCATAAGATTTTTAAAAGCCTTCATTAAAATAAATTTAGAGGTATTTCTAACCAAGTTTTATGACTTACATGCTAAGTGTACTACATATTTCTCTATATAGATATATTTCATAGGTTAATATAAAATGTTATATAATATAATATAATTTATAAGTATATAATACAACAGTTAATATAAAATGTTATATGTATTATATGTAATGTTAATTAAAATATAGATATATTTTACAGCTTAAAATTGGTGATTAGGAGTGATTAGAGCTAGACTAAGCCTGTAAGAATCAAAGATTGTCGCAGAACTTTGGAAAAGGCAGAAAAGTGCATCTAAATAAAATAGTTATAAAACCTTCATAATATGGACAACAAAACATATTTGGGGGACAATTAAAAAATATAATGATTACCTGAATGGTTTAGAGTTCTCACGGGCATGATTGTCTTGACGCTTCCTGGGTAGAAAATAAATGCAGTTAGGAAAGATTGTTCCATTAAACTACAACATTGTTGTATGCAAATGTCAATTTAACGTTCATTATACGTAGGGCTCACAATGTTATGTGCTCTAAAAAATCAGCAGGTAACTGCTTTAGAAAACACTGCACTAAAGTAGTAAACCTAATACAGATTGACACTGTGTCCAAAAACAACTCAAGGAGAAAAAAATTTTTTTAACTTCAGATTCATATTTTCTAAGATATAAGATTAATATATTAAAACATCTTAGACTTTTGACACAATAAGCTTGGTTCTAGTTCTTTAGATATTAAAAAGTTGAGAATAGTGGGTTTTTAAAAAATTCAACCTATAGGTTTAAACATTTAAATGTATAAATATCCTTTTCAGGAAATTTGCAGGACAGCAAAATGAAGGAGTCCTCCAGATGACTGTGAATGGCTCAGGAAAACTTGACAACTTAGAAACTATCAGATTTTAAGTGAATACTCAATTTCCATAAGGGAATGGCCAATGTCGTACCCAGAGGATTACGAGAACTTCAATGCTCAACTCTATCAATAACGACGATAGCTGAGGTATTTCCTTGATAGGCAATGTAGCAGTGCTTATCAAAGTAAGAAAGCTCATTTCCTTTGGCTCAGAAATTCCATTGCTGGAAATGTATCCTCACAGATGTACACAAATGCACAAAGTTATATGTACAAGGATTAAGTCAGTCATAAACTCAGCCATTAAAAAATAATTAAGTACAGCTATAAGTACTAATATAAAAACTCATTCAGGAGATAGTAACATTGGATGTGAAAAAAACAAGTTTATTGCACCCTAGAATGTATTTTATAATCCCATTTGTGTAAAAGAGAAACAAGCAATAAACAGAAAATTTCTGCAAGGATGCCAAACAGCTTTTACATTGGTTAAATCACATAAATGGAGCCAGGGAGTCAGAAGAACGGACACAGGAAGAGATTTCTACTTTTAACCCTATGATTTTTGGTAATCTTTATTTTTGCTTATTTTTTTAACCCGGGCATTGTTCACATTTTAAATAAAATACTGGTTAAGAAAAAGGATGCCACCATGTAAATGGACTGTATTTTCCCAAACTAAAACTCAAATACTGATTTTATTTCCATGACCAATTTGGTCCCTAATATAGAATGCTACTTTGATGATGATAGTAGTTGCACTTAGAAAGGGTGGAAAACATGGAAATTCCCACAGGAACAATAAATCTTTTGGATGAGAAATCAGAAGCCCCCACGTATTTGTAGCAAGGTATCTATAATCAAAAAGTCTTTCTGCTAATAGCCATGAAGCACAGTAGGTTTGTAAAGCAGTTGTCAGAAAGCCAAACCACAAGCATATTAACTTTGGTTTGCTAAAATGTTTTATTATTGAATTACATTTTTCCCCACACAGTGATCTTCCTATGAATCCCTCTATAGGTAAAGAGGCAAACACTGAAAGAGAAGTGATGGCTTCGTTAGACTTCAATGCAAATAAGAAGAATAAGCATTGTTAAGCCCAAATTGGCTGAATTTTTGTTTAATTAACTACATACTTAAGGTTCATGTAGACACAACCTCTGTCAGAGCTTTAGAGGTAACACCCTCCAAAATGAAAGTACAGTGTATTTCCAATTCAAGTCAGAAACTTTTGCACATCTTTCCTTAATTCGGAGTCAGAGCTGGAACTGAATAACTTCTAGGTTGCTTTCCATATTTATTATCTTATCATGGTATTGATCTATGCATGCAGTTCTGTTGATAACAAGGATGATGACTGCTGTTTACTGTGTGCTTACTACATGCACTGGTAGAGTTATACTGGTATAGAGCTTCATGACGGTCCTATGCCACAGGTGTTATTACCCATATATACAGTTGAGGATGATACTTAGGGTCAGAACCAGAATCAAATCCAGATTTGGCAGACCTCCAAGGCTAAGGGGTCTCACCTCCCCAACTAGCACCTGCCACCCCCAGCTCCACTGCTAAGTTTTATCACAATGTAAAATAATACATCTTCAAGAATATTTTCTCCTAAATATTTTCACTTGACTCCAATACTTCCAATGCTTGAATATTTCATGGTCCTGGGAGAATATTTGAGTTTTCTATGGATTTCAAACAAATCCATAGTGTAAATGATGTTCAAAATCTTTATATTAAAGTATTAATGAAGACAGCTCCTCGTGAGAACATGATTAATTCTCATGACATACAACTGTTTTACTTTGTTCTTTGAGAAGCATTACTTTTAAGGAAAGTAAGAACCTCACAAGTGAAAATTAGGCATATGGTCACCTCCCATTCCTTGGTTTACATAAAATACATAATTTTGCTTAAAACACGGACTTCAAGTTAAACACATACATAAAATTTTATAAAAAACAGGACAGGGATACTATATTTAATAATTAAATAGAATGTAGTGTTTTCATTTAGCAACAAAGCAATAACTTTTTAAATCAGATTGAACTTTTATGGTTTATAGTAAAAAATTAAAATTATTACACCCTAAACCAGACATATACAATTCTTATTCACTAAGGACATATCATAAAAAGAGAATCACCAAGTAAACTTCAAGCAAAAGCAATAATATTTTGCTATTAAAGAACAGACCAGAGACGAAGAAAAGCGATTTACATAAAATTCAAAAGCAGACAATTAATGGTCAGAACAAAAATTATCTAGAATAGTTATTTAATTTTTGATGGGTTTAAATTTTAGAAAAGGGCTCGTCAAAAAAGTCACACTTACTATTTTATTTAAAAAAAATCAATTTTGCTGATCTTAACAGAAGACTGTCCTGTATTCCAATAGCATTTATTATCCAGAAAATGTTTTAAAATTCACAGCTTTGATCCCAGTAAAAAATGACAATTATGCAAATAGCTTTGGTCAGGAAAACCTCCTCCTTTTAAATTTCTATGACACATCTGCCTAAGATGTCCTACCATTTCAGCATGAAATTAGATAAACCCAGTGCCATGCTCCCTACTGCTGTTCAGAGAAGAGCTTCTGTCCTGTCTGAGCTGGAGATCCCATTAGTATCAGGGACACCTCTGGTCTACATTCCTCTGAACTACAGTGTCTAACTTTTCACTTCAGTGAAAGGCTTAATTAAGAATATTACTAGAGAATTGGAAATCACTCCTATTTCGCATGAACCCTTTACATGAGATTTTAAACATATCTGAGCATATAATATTCTCTCCAACACCATCCTTGGACAGCCTTCAACTAACTGCTATCCATAAAATCACTCTCCTTGGAGTTTCTGAGGCGTATCGAAAGGTAGATTGGAGAAAACAGGAGTGATGGGTCCTTTGGGATACTGGTTCATATTCATGAACCAATAAGAACATGAACTCTTTTCATTAATCTCTTGTCTTCAGTTGCTTTATCTTGGAAACTGAAAAAAATTCTGCAATGCTGACTGTTTGCACCATAGATCTATTACTGGGCATGGCATGTCTGTCTAGTGTTCAAAGTCTCTTTGCTGCTCTCCTCAACTTACACTTAGGGAAAAAAATTCACTTGAAAATCCATAAGGCTTTCAAAGTTTAAGCCAAAGTTTGATAATGACATTTGTCTTTTTTTGCTAGGTGATACTTTTACTTAGCCATCTTACTCTACCAACAATGGCGTAAATTCCTGAGCTTGTGCTGTATTACTTAAATGTATGAAAATGCTTATAAGATAGGGAAATATTTTCCTTGGATCTCAGAATATTATTATAAACCATCAAATGTATTATTGTATATACCTGCAATTTTACCAAAATTTTCTCAATAAAGATCTACTTGGAGCTATAAAGATCCATAGTAATGTGGTTAATTACAGCTACATTACTTCTCTATGATTGTGTAGATTCATTTCATTTTTCATACTCTGTGTGTTAAAAGTAAATCTCTGGTTTTCCCAATTGATTGATATGTCTAAAAATGCAATAT